TACTAATATATATATATTAATAAGTACTTTATACTTATATATCTTAATATAGATTATAAATACCCTTACTATTATTATATTTATAGCTTTTATAATTAATAACCTACTATAAATTATTACTAATAATAGGAAGTATATATTAAAGTTATAGTTATTAAGGAGGTATAGCTAAAGTTAATCTAGTTAGATTTAAGATTATAATAACTTCCTTATTAAAGTTATATAAAGTTAAGTTAATACCTCTTTTTAGAGTTACTAATAATATAATACTAAGAGGTCCTTATAGATCTTTAGTACTACTACTATATCTACTACCTAAGAGTATTTATTTTAGTATATTAATATAAGCTTTCTATCTATATAATTTATACTCTAATAAAGCTAAAGTAGTTATAATATCTATAAAATCTCTTCTATATTAGATAAGGATTTTAATAGCTTAATACCCTTATTATTAGTAATAATATTAATCTCTCCTCTATATAAAAAGGCCTAATTTACTAATTTAAGTATTCTAAAAACTAAGATTATAACTCTAAAAGACCTCACTATTACTACTATTATCTCTACTAATTTTCTATTTATCTACTTTAAGAATACCTTCCTCTAATAGATCTTTTAGTATTATAGTATAGAGATTATTAGAGAGGTTTTATAAGGCTAGATAGTAATCTAAGATTAATTTAATAATTTATTTTAATATAGAGAAGTTTTTATAAAGTTAGAACTTTATATAGTAGTTTTAAAGATCTATTTATTATTTAATTTATAATTATTATTAAATATCTATACTTTTATAGTAATTATTAGTTATTTTATTAATAGTAATAATATCTTATAATCTTATCTTTTAGCTTTTTTATAATATTATAGAGATTATAGAGACTATAGTCTCTTAGAAACCTTTATTAGTATTATCTACTAATATAATATCTAGAACTAAATTAGAGTAATAATTTCTAATAATACTATAAATAATAATACTTACTTTAAGGCTTTCTATTAGAGTATTAACTTTAAGATAATAGAGATAGATATAGAGGTTTAATATATATAATACTATAGCTATATCCTTAATCTCTTAGTTTAAATCTTTTTATTTAGTGTTAATAAAGATATATTTAATATTAAGTTAGAGTTCTATTAGCTTATAAACTAATATAATAATAATCTTAAGTTTTAATACTATATTAAGTTTATAAACTAGTTTTAGAATATTATTAAATTTATTTAAACTTTACTATAATATACTAAAAGGTTTTAGAAAGTTATAGTAGAGGTTAATAGTAACTCTAACTTCTAAATCTTCTTAGAGTTATACTAAGAGACTTAGCTTATACTAAATAATAACACTTAATAGAATAGTATATATCTTATAATCTAGAGGGCTATAATAAAGAAGGTAGAGATCTAAGCTTTTATACTAATTACTAATAATAATAAAGATATTAAATAGTATATATTAAAAGAGGATCTACTATTAGCTAATAACTAAAAAGTTCTTATTAAGATAGGTATAATTCTTAAGTTTTTTTATTACTAAATAAAGTAGTATAAGAGATAAGGTATTAATAATAAGTATAGCTAACTCTAAGAGGTTATAATAGGTATAAAATACTTTTTCTTATACCTTATTAATTAGAAGGAGTATTATAACTTTATAATCTTACCTCTAATTAATAATAATAATTAGAGTAAATCCTAGTAGTTATAAAACTTTTAGAGGTAGTTAGGATACTTATATTATTATTAATATAACGCTTATACTCTACTTTAGTATATATAAGAAGATTAAATATTACTAGCTTTATAATTTATTTCTTAATTTAATACTCTTAATAAGAGATAGTAGACCTTCTTCTATAGTAGTATTAAATAAGTATAGTAGAAGCTCTAATTATATTATAATAAATTAGGGGTGTTACTACTATTTTCTAGTATAATTATTTTATATCTATTATATAGTATATTATACTTAAGAGATATATAGAGTAATAATTACTAATAAGAGTAGGTTAATAAAGCTCTCTTAGGCCTTATAGACTATTTTAATAAGTAGTATTATTAAACTAATACTAATAAGAGTTTTTTAGTTAGTTTACTAAATAGTATATAAGTTAGGTTACTCTTAGTTAATCTTAAAGTTTAGGATAAGGATTATTACTTCTAGTAATAAGTTAATAACTAATATTAATAACTACTACCTTAAATAGATAAACTTAATCTCTATTTCTATTAGCCTCTAAAGGTTATAATAGATCCTATATATTAGTAGAGAGAGTATATAGAGACCTACTTAGACCTATCCTAGCTTATTATTAATATCTTTATTATATTAGTAATAGTAATAAACTATAAGAAGGTATTTAGTACTACTAAGTTAAGCTTTATATTATAAAGACTTATAATAATACTACTTACTATAGAAACTCTCTAATTAATAAAAAACTAACTAAAGAGGGGGGTTATAATATATTAGAATAGCTTTAAACTAATAGGATTATTATAAGCCTTATTATAACGTAGTTTTAGGTAGTGATTAAATTATTATACTTATAATATAGCTAATTAATTAAACCCTCGTAAAAAAATCTCATTAATAGTAAGTTTGGGGGTCCAATTTGCTTTGATTGCACTTGCGGTAGCGCTGCAAGACGAGGTTATCTCGTTTGCTCGTTCGATTCCTAACACATATGCCGTCACACTTGACAATGAAATCCGCGGCGGATTCTTGTTGAGCACGTCAGACAACTACTGGAGACAGCGGCTGCGTTTCGCGGAAACGTTCGCAGAATACTCAGAAGCTGGATTAGTTGGTGAGGGAACAGACGACACGGGCCCGACCGTCCGAGCATTTCTTCCATTTACGTTAAAAGAAACAAGGGAATCGATATCCAGTTTTAGTGGAATGGCGCGTGTTACCGACTCACGCGTGATTTGTTTAAGGCCAATTATCAGCAACCTTACCATCTGCGAGATCAAGATCAGTGATTCCGAATCGGACATTGGAATATACGGGGTCTTACAGATCGACAGGTCTGTGGCTAATTCTGCGGGCTTAAATTGGCCAGAAAAAGATGTGTTCACCTTCGGATGCCCTCTGCCAAGCTCCGGGAAATCACCCATATGGCAGGTCTGCCAGAATCACACCATTGACAGTGTTCTTACGAGCTCTGAGTGGTCCCTATATGACCCCAGTGGAATGGATGACATTAGGCTTCTCTGGAATGCGGGTCTACAAGGTGCCTGGGAAACTTGGGAAAACCAACCCTGGTCATTTAACAGCTCATCGACAGTAGACATGCTCAATTCTACAGAGGATGGCTCGTGGACAGTCCAGGCCTTCAAAGTGACACATCAACATCTTAAAGTAACCGAAAGACACGATCTGAAGATAACAATGTGCGCACAGTCAAAAATGTAAGTTTCTCGGCAGCCGAGTTTTTGGAGGACCCAGATGGCAGTTGCTAAAGACTTCTCTACGTAGTGAACTCGCTTCGATCCGACATCTTAACATACACGCTTCGAGGTTGCCCTCATTGAGCAGCCAGACGGCCCGAGCGGAGCCGAATTACAGGTGGACGGTGGATCCGGCGGTCTACATCACGGAGACGCTGCGCAAACAGCTCAACGCTGTCACCAATAATCCCCTCCTGTCACGGCCACCCGACCAAGACGGGACTCTAGCTATCGATAAACAGAGACTTAACTCAAGCATCGCCGAGGTCCGCAGCGGCAAATGGGTGAAGAATACAAAAGGTCGGATGATGAACAATATCCTCGGCGGCCTCTTTTATAGATCAGAGAGCGCGCCAATTATGCTTTGCTCCTCTTGTTTGACAACGCGGAATCGGTCTTATGTCCCGCTCGACGATCTACACATTCAACTGTTTGAAGATACTCTTAAAGAAACAGGCTCACCTGCGAGAGCCTTACAGGCACTATACTTCACACTTGAACGGTCTGTATACTACGACAAACTAAGCAGTTATGCATCTAGCGAGCTTGCTGACGAAGACGCCGCTGTTGCCGAAATCATGACTTTCAAACTGACACAGATCCCGAAGCATTGCAGGGGATACTGGGCAGTTGCGGGAATTCTGGCTGCCTTCTTCGCCGTCTTCGCTTCTGCGGTCTGGCTCTACCGGCCGATGCGCTACAGTCTGCCTGGAAACTCTTGGCATGCCATCGCACAGATATCCGAGAGCGCCCAGCTTACCGAACTCCTTCGCATAGCGAGACTATCCACTGACGAGGAGGTCGAGCAGATGATCAAGGGAACCCCGAAGTCCCCTCTTGATCCGGACAGCTGCGGATCTATTTTCTGCGTCAACGGGAGCCTCCAGCGCGCGAAGAGACGGTCTCTAGCTGTATTCAAGTCCGTGTTTGCGTCCGGCCCAGAGCGGGAAGTACCACGTTTCGTCCTCCGGGAGGGCGTTTTCGTTCGCGCGTCAGGGGAAGAAGCGTATGCGGAACTGAACGCAAGCGGCTTCCGGCACCGGTTGGTGAGGAAACATTCATGGAGTGAGAGTGTCGATTGAAAGCCGTGTTGCACAATGAAGTGTCCTCCTTTTTGGTTTATAAAAGATGATGGCGGTCTTTACAGACGCTTTTGAGATTGGGGGTTCGCAAAAAGTCGCAGGGGCCCCGAAGCTGCTCAGAGGACACAACACCCAAAAGCCATGCAGGTGTGCCTGTTACACTCGGTTCATGATAGATTAGGAATTCACATCAATATCGGCTGACATGAGGTTTGGAGACCTGTCCAAAAGATCATGGTTCGGTTTCACGGTGAAGCCGACTCCTAGCGTGCCGCTAAACTCCATGTCAAGTTTTGGTCACAAAGTGGACACAACGCCAAGTTTTCATCACAGCCCGATGACCCCCATAGGACCCACGTAGCGACAACTGAGCCACTTCGTGATTCTCCATTGAAATGTCCACCGCGTATGATGATATGATCGCGAACCTGCTCATAGTGTATATTGGTCAAGCAAATTGCCAAGTTCTGCGCGGGGTTCGGCAACAAAATCAACAGTTGGTTTCTCATGATGGGTTTTCCAAACGACAACAGTGGCCCCAGGGTGACGTTGGGACTCAAACGGCAGTCTAACGCTAATGTTGATAGCTACGATCCAGTTCTACGATGCCGATTTCCTGTCCAAAATAAAACCAAAAAACAGTGATTATGATGGCGGTGTGATTCACAATGGGCAGTGTTTTTACCTTACAATCAACTCGAGATTAGGGGCTTCCTAAAGGGGCAAGTCTTTCAACGGTGATCCCGTACCGGCATGCTCTCCGAGTGGAGCCAAACAAACCCGGCGCAACCGGACCGGACGGAGCAGGTCAGGATGTTCGGAAGGGTAAATTGTGAGCTGCAGTGAGGCTGACTGCATCATCACATTGCGTCGAACGGTCAAATCAGCAAGTCGCCGGAAAGATCTTGCCGAGTGATCAGGCGATAAGATCTTGATGCCAAGAGGCTAACTCTGCTGAAGGGCTCATCGTTGTTGGTTGCGCAGCCCTAGACAAGACCTGCCTTCTTTGACGTGTTCGCGGGGATGCATTGCGCCCTAATCTCGCTTCGCGGCTCCTGTGCCTTGAAAGCTGTGCTGTTTGCTCTCCCACATGCCGTGAAGCACAGACACCTCCGAGGAGACCCGCCTCCCATCGGACCTCTTCCGCTGCAATGTTCCCGGCATCCGGCACCCGGCCGCTCGGACGTGAAATAAAGGGGAAGGAGGGAGCACTCTCTGGGTCCTGCGGTCCCCGCCTTCCGGGGGTGACGTGAGGGGATGCCTTGCATGACTAAATATAGTTCCCGCGGTTAGTGGGAAGCTTGTTAAACAGCTGGCCATGCCAAAATTTGAGCATGTTTTTAACCGTACCGCGGGAAGGAAGCATTGATCGTTCTGTAGACTGTAGGGCTTGTGCAAGCCTTCGGACATTACTGCTTTGAATGAATTGTTCGGATGACCCCCACACATTCCACACATAGCTCGGAGGATTATACATAACTCCCACTTTGCCGTTGTTTATCCCGTTGAGTGCGGCTGTGCTGCATGTTTGGATGAAGTGATCATTGATTGTAACATTGTGAACGTGGTATGATTTGGATTGAGGACCAAAATCCTGGCAGGTGGTGGTTGAATGCTCACTTGGCTCACTTGGGAACAACTGATCTTTATGTTGTTTCTGCATGATTCCTTATGAGAACTTACATCTCTGACCATAAATTCCCCGTGTTATCAAAAGATACAACCTTGGCTATCGCAATCCTCAGCGCATGTTGACCAAAGCGGCGATTTGAAGTTGTTGGACCAACACTCCCCGCGATGCCGGAATCGAACCGAGGAATTATCCCTATCATAACTCGAAGGCATGAATGATAGTACCGGATGTATGTACTCTCGCTATGTGGGATTGCTCATAGGGGTTGTTGTGTCCAAGGCACGGACGCCTTGTGGAGTCTTCCCGCTCACTCCCTAGGGGATCTCTAGTCATGCAAAGCACCTTGGCAGAGCCTTGTGGGCCGTGATGTTACTTCACGATCCACGATCCATCAGTGGAATGTTCGAAGCTGAGCCTCCGCGTCGTCAGCGTCAAGCGGAGCATGCATCTCAGTGCCCGACAGGCCTTGGTCGAGGAGCACCAGAAACCCCATATCGACATCAGGAGATGCGTCTTCTCGAGAGATAAATAGAGACAGGTTTTCCCTCTCCAGAAGCTTTCTTCTCTTCATCCTCATCACCATCCACTCACTCACACTTCAATCTTTAATACAAACAACTCACACTCTTTCAACCAACTTTCTACAGTCTCTTCAGGTTACTACTTAATACCAACCCAACCCAATCCATCAAAATGCAGTTCTCTACCATCCTCGTTGCCGCTGTTGCTTGCGCCACTGGGTAAGACTACCACCTCACTACAAGTTGGAATACATCTTCTAACGCTTCTCAGTGCTGTTGCCAACCTCCACACCGCTGCCTGGTGTATCTCTTCGGGTCTGAAGGACTCTGACCCCAAGAACGTCGCCGCCACCGAAGCTGCCTGCGGTGCCTACAAGGAGCGCCACACCGGCAACGACGTCTGGGACACTTGCCCCGACTGCTACCTCGTAAGTCACCATCGCAACATTCCCGCCAGTATTCACGTCAGAAGCTAACCCATTCTTTTCAGGGTGTCAAGGACGACGACGCCGAGGTCGCCACCTGCAACTCCCCCGCCAAGCACATTGGCGGTGACGAGTGGGAGGAGTACTGCATCCAGTACGGTGCCGTCAACGGCGCTGCCAACTAAGAGTCAGTGGATGGCTCGATGGCAAGACATGATACTAGGACGTTTTCCTCTTGTTACTATATTTGCATGGATGGGAGTACTTGATTTGGTCAAATATGTCTAATACTTAAATCAAAGAGTTCGGACTGCAATGATAGGTGCTTCAATGAGGCTTTTGTGAATGTTCGTTCCTCGACCTTGCTCTCACTGCCGGAGCAGAGATGGGCAGGTTAGGGGTTGAGTCGTGCGACCGCTTGGAGGTTGAGGGTTAGCGCTGTATCTATGGCCTCCGAAGAAAAACGGCGAGTTCATGCTTCCGGAACTTCGATGGTGCGCCGTAAGACTTATCTGGGCCGATGTCTGAACAAGAATTGCGTCGTTTCTGTAATGCTTAACCAAAAGAATACACCGGCGATTGGACGCATGTTGTCTTGGACAAACTATCGACTTTCGACTGCTGTGATTCCAAGCCATGACTCAATAAGCATGCTGGCTAAGCTTAATTGAGAGTTTTCGTGGAAATTCCCATGTGGTGTGATTAGCGTACTATGGCGGGGTTTAACCCCTTGAGGTTACAGGGGAAGAGTTGGTAGAATTTAGAAAGACGAGTCAAGACACCAGCTGTTCAGCTTCGCGCCACAACTCTGAATTTCCAATAGCCAAGTTGATATGCTACAACCGATTCAGACATGTCTCCGTCTCCGCTGCTTTTCAACATGATATCCCCACGATACAAAAAGCAACTCAACACCGGCCATGAAGTCGGTCGTCAATCCATCCACACGCCTTCCACAGTCTTTTCCGTGCTTCATTCCTTCCAGCCATGACCGTCCCAACTTCTCCGCGGCTTAGTCTGCGTGACACTCTCCTTAGTTTTCTTTTACTTCCACTCGTTTCCGCAAAATGCGTTCCTCGGAGCAATCCCTCCAGTGGCCCCCAGCCTGCCAAACTTGCGAACACCTTGTATGTAGGCTGCTTCGTCACAACCCTTGTTGAAGGCTCGGCAATGATCCCATCTCAAATCGGCTCTTACAAGAATGAGGCTATGACTGCAGAGCTCTGTGCTACACAGTACTGCAAAACATCAGCCTATTTCGCCACATTTGAGTCAAACAGATGCTACTGTCACCACGCTGCACCGACCAAGCGCGTTGCTGAGTCGGAATGCTCTTCGCCGTGTGCAGGATCCAAAACCGAGCTCTGCGGCAGCAACACCAGGGCCAACTTCTATCGTCGGGACCCCCGCGTCTTCACGCCTCCTACCGATTCAAGCACCGTCAAGGTGGCCTCGTTCTCGTTCAAGAGCGATTCCGACCTCCAGCTCTGGACTGGTTCTAAGGGGACAGAATCCTCCTTCGTGCCTGGAAACACCAACCCCACGGCGCTTAAATTAGAGTCGAGAACGTCGCTGACAACATGCGTCAATGCCACGATCGGTGCAACTTACCGGATTTCGCTCCGCTACATGATGGGGAATGTTTGGAGGAGTGGTCGCCTCATGACTCTTGAAGCCTCTGCTGACTCAGGAGAAGTCTACAAGAAGCTGATGGCTGAGTTCAGTCCGGGATTCACTTTCGAAGAGTGGCAAATCATGTCGATTGAGATTACCGCCAAAACGACAAAACTTTCTGTCAAGCTGGAGTACATGCCAACGCCCAATGGGGGCTATGCGATTTGGGATGATCTGGCGATCGACCTCATCGAAGCCCCGAAGTCCTGAGCCATCACCAGTGTTACCCAGCATCAGACAATTTCGTGTGTTCAGATTGGCGTTGCGATGCATTGACCAAACCTGCATCATCGACCTGATCAATGAACATGCTGGCCGAGGACATCTCGAGGAATGTAAGGCTAGGATCAATGTGGGCTGAGCGCGATCGTGATACAAAAATGTTGTGTAATCGCTTTGATGCTCAAGTCAGACTTGTCATCGGCCAGACAACAATGATCAAAAGAATTGCTTTCGCATCAAGGTATTTCTTAGTATCATTCCACTTAATTATCTAATTATTTCCTCCATCTAAAGTAATAAATCAGAAAGACCTCTTTTGCCACAGTCTTTATTCCATTGATTCAATTTGAAAGGTGGAAAGAGCAGGAGGTCGATCGAAAAAACAAGGGTAAATAGAACACGTCCTTCTTAATGGGCACAAAGTCTAAATCCAAATCACATCGTGTTAGAACTCGGACAAGAAACCGAAGCATGTTCATGTTTCCAGCAAAATGTGACTGCTGAGAAACTGTACCTAATTGCAACCGCGAAATTTCTCTTGAGAGTACTGATAATTGATAGACTTATTTCTTGCTGAGCTGTCTGTCAGCATAAGACCTTCTTTACCAAAGCTCGAGACCTAGGTTGGTTTTCGGAGTTGGCAGTTTTCGCGTTAGGCAGTGTAGGGGCGGTCGGTGACCCATTACACATCATGCTCAGGGGTTCAGGGGTTTCCTGCATCCATCTTCAAACCAACAACTGTGAAAACAGGCAGCGCTAGGCAACAGCCAGCCAAGAATGCAGCCATGAGGGTCCTAAATCCACATGACCTCGCGACAATTTCGCGTCAAGAATTAGCCATGCTTACCGCCTGACGCCATGCTCGATTGGCTTGGGGAGCTACTGAAAGTAGCGCGGTAGCCTGCATGCCTAAATTTGACTTCAAGAACCTCGTGGCTTCCCTAACGATTCTTTCTAGCAATCCTCTCGATACAAAAACGAGAGAAATTCCAGTTGCACCACTACAAAAACTGCACAATACTCAGAGATCACCATCGCCTGTCTATCAACGCCGACCTCTTCACCACCCTTAATTGACACGTGCTCAACGAGCGTCTGTCCATATGTCGAAAACATCATTGACCGCCCGAGACAGACTCGCTCTGCGTCACTGGGCCGAGCAGCAAGGCTCGCAGAAAACGCCGACCGTTCCAATGGCAATGCAGTGGATCGCCGAGAACCTGGGAAAGGATGTGGAAGAAGACACGATCCGATCCGTGCTCAATAAGGGAGATCTCAATGAGGGTTTCCACACCTTTGTGAGTTCGCCACCCAATGCGCTTCAGGGCGGCCAATGCTGACTTCGAAACCAAGGACGACGGCGAGTTGAACAAGCTTGTTCGACCAGGGTTTGGTTTGGGTGTCAATGCTATACCCGAGAAAATGTTTCCTAGCGCGGTGCTCGATTGGACCGCCATCACATTGACGTACTTGGAGCTGGCCATTATGTGGTTCATCGAGCAAATCACCAACAAACCGGATTGGCACGTGAAAGTCTTCAACGATGACATCGCTGCTAAATGGAAAGCCGAAGTCATGGCCGTTGACTGGACTTCAGTGGGCCTGAAATATGCTCACTTTGATGACGACATGTTCGAATGGGTTCGTCTGATACCTCACCCTCCAACTCAAGAAGACCACCCGGCTGACATCATTATAGTGTCTCGAGGAGCTCCGACAAAAGGCGAAGCTGTACGAAGCCACAGGGATCATTCCGGTCTTTGATTATTCGGCAGCTGTGATCAAGTCCGACAATGCTCTGACGCCGGAAATCAAGGAAGAGCTAAAGAAGGCCGTGGCCATGCTTGAGGACGTCCCGGATGCACACAAGGATTGGCACCCCGGTAGCGATGAGAAGGTTCTTGACCTTGTTCACCCGTCGCTTTGGCCGCTTGCCTACGGCACGACCCGCATCTTATCTGACAAACGGATCCCATTGGCGGACACAATGAATTACTGCGGCGGAGGAGATGTCATCCCGACTCCTGACGAAGATGTGGACCTATGCTGGTCTACCAAGTTCCAGTGGCTTCCTTGCGAGGTCGAGCTCGACGATGACAAACCTCGAATTGCAAGCTACATCAACAATCTACATCCCACCAAGCATGCGGATCTGTATTCGGTGATCGAAAAAGTGCTGGGTAAGGTCGTACCCCTCTGGGACGTCGTTCACAGATGGCCCGAGGAGTTCGAATTTCAACGCCTGTGGATGCCCAAGGTTGGGAGATGTTGCACGACCCCCGAGATCTGCAACAAAGGTCCTTACTGGTGCCGCCCTGAATCCCGCCCCCAGGAGCCGGACGAGCAGCCCCGCGAAGAGGATGAGTACAATGGCAACTATGAAGATAGCGACGACGAACCTGAATCCCTGACTTGGCGCAGAGACAAGATCTGGTACAACGCAACTCATCCTCTCTCACGGCCGAATATCCCTCCCTACACACGAATGCCCATCACTGGCGAAGATGTCAGGTTGCAAAATGGGTTTTTCGATAATGCTGAGCGGATTCAAGTCATCGTCAAGCTTGCAAATATCCATCTCACTCCAGAGAAGCCAACTTACGACGGTGGCTCTTGGCACATCGAGGGTCTGCTGAATGAGCACATCTGCGCCACGGCCCTGTATTACTACGATAATGAAAACATTACGGAGAGCCGACTCGCATTCCGAACCAAGTCTAATAGGGAAGATCTTACGTTGGAACTCCAGTACGAGCAGAGCGACTTCTACTCTATCGGAAGGACCTTTAGCATCGACCCCTCGGGTAATACTATTCAGGGCCTCGGCAGTGTACTCACTCGCGAAGATCGCCTCATTGCTTTCCCGAATGTTTATCAGCACTGCGTAGCCCCCTTTGAGCTTGTCGACAAGACAAAGTCAGGCCATCGCAAGATCCTAGCGCTGTTCCTTGTAGACCCGGACGTCCCCGTTATTAGCACCGCCAACGTACCACCGCAGCAGAAACACTGGTTTAGAGACGAGGTGACTACGGGACGGATGCCGCCTGAGATTATCGACATGGTGTTTGAAAACCTCGAAATTCCGTTTGGTCTCGAGAAAGCCAAGGAGATGAGATTGGAGGTCATGAAGGAGAGAACTACAGTTGGGGATAACACGAACTATAGTGTTCGCTCGGATGATTTCAATTTTTGCGAGCATTAGATGCAGCTGGAAGAGTCATACGTAGTCGAAGATCAAATCGACTCATAGGTGCTGCAAAGTACGGAGTAAAAGTCTCATAGAAGTACGACACCTTTAGTCTTCCTTTTAATATCCACGGATTGCACTTTGATAAGCTTGCTATGATACCGATGCCAATGTACTGCGGCACGCTCTTGGCAGCTGGGAGCTGAGCTTCTTCTTGCTAGACTTTAGCTGGAACCTTCGGGTGGGTTCGTCTTGAGATCTAGCTCAAAATTGATCTTGCATTAAGTTGCATTCACGGACTTTGAGCGTCTAGTTGGTTATCGTAAAGAGACACGTCACACATGAGTGCTGAAGCCTTACGTGCAGGCTATTCTGCTCCGTGCTAAGCCAAAGTTTGTGTCTAAAACATGAAGGGACGTGGATGGGAGGGGCGCTCACTGTGAGATTTCCAACATTCATCATGGAGTTCTTGCAAGAGAGCTATGGAAGGAAGTCCTGTGATTCATGGGTGGCTTGGGAAATTAGATCGAAATTGTTACTTTCACCGTGCGTCCCAGATTTGGTAGGTGAAGTTGTGGACATGAGTGGATTTGGAGAAAGGTGTTGGCGCCTACGAAAAAGAGTTCATTCAACACATATGTTTCAAGTTGCTAGTCAATTGACGCAAGTTCTTTCTCTTTTCCTCTTCCATTATCAGTATCAGTCGTGGCGTTCTCAGATGAATATCGAGATGCGCTATAATAGCCTCCAAGCTTAATTACTTGAACCAAACGAGGCACTACTCTGGCAAAAGATCTTCAGACGCTATCAAAGCTTCGAAAATTACGCAGCGCCCTTTCTGATGTCATATTATTGCTGCTGCTATTGATCACAGGATCATTTGCCACATGATCGGAGCGTAAAGCCCGATGATATTTCCGAGTAAATCTTCCAAAGTTCTACTGAGTAAGTGACTTCCCCATCGGGAATCAGGAATCGGTCCTTAGATCCGACTCGAAAAAGCTCCGTTACTTCCTAAAATCCAGCGTTCTATACTTCAAAGCTAATCGTCATCCTCGCCTTCTGGTGACGTGAGTATTCCTGCTGAGCAGACGGATTCGGAATGTTTGTCGCCAACCGAAGGAGCCAGCCGTGAAAGAGGCCTCGGCCCGGCAGGAGGAAGCAATCCGTGTGAGTGGAACATTACCCTACGCCCGCCCTTCCGAATTCGTGTTCGCTTATGCTAAACTTCCTTATCACGGGTGATTTTCACGGAGTTCGCGGAGAATCAAGCTTCATCGAAAAACAAGGACGGGAAGCTAGGGAATGCGGTCATGGTTCGTTGGGGCGGAAGAGATGGTGGGAACGTCCAAGTATAAAGCTGGCAATGTCCTCTCGGCTTGATAGACGACGAAAACAAATCATTCTAACCTTACCCTCATCCAAGCAATATCACCGTTACATACTACCATACACCACCGCACACCAAGCCACCTTAGTTTTGTCAAACAAGCATCGTCATTCCCGTCAATCTGAACTTTATCCACGTGGCTGGGCTCTCGTACCCGCATTCCCCGAAAACTCAATCCTGACAACAGCACGCCCATCTGACTTCTTTGTTTCTCCAATTCCCCCAAAAAGAAGATGAAGCTCACCACTGTGGCCACTACCCTGCTCGTCTTTGCCACTCCCATCCTCGCCGGAGTCGCCCCCGCTAACGCAGCGGATGAGTGCGGACAGCTCGGAGTCATGTCTTATACCGCCGGCTCTATGGACGAAAAGGGCGTAGACCCCTCTCAGATCCGAAAGTGCAAGGAGCATCCCCTTGGCCCGAACCCTCGACCGGAGGGCTCTGTCGGAACTCGCCCTAACTATGCCGCGGCCGCTGCCGCTGCAGAGGATGCCAATAGCAACACCAGCGCACCCCTGACTGCTGAGCACTGGTGGTGGAAGCATGGCTGGGGCAAGTGCTGGGACGTTGACCCCGGCGAATACGGATGCTCCAGGGGCTACTGTTACAGAGCTTGCGATGGAGACGGACGGTGGTGCTGGACTGCCCGGAACCGTGGCTACGGGTCGTGGAAGACTTGTGATGCTAGGGCTGATTGCAGAGTTGCCGACGACATTAGCTGTGGGAAGGGATGCAGGGCTTGTGGTTGTTCTTGCTGAGCGTTCGCTTTCGCTTATTCCTGCTCTTTGAATCCTTGTTCTTTCAGCCTAGCGGTGCGCCTTGGTGTTGGTGTTTAGCTGATGGATTGATGTAATAGGCTTGTCGTCGCGTCGGGCGATTTGAGTTTGTGATTGGGTTGGCTCGGTAGTTTGCTAGGAAATATTTGTTCTATTCCATTCCTGCACGTGCTACTTCGGACAGAATGATCATCTCGTCCCAAGAGTTGAGATAAGGTTTAGGAATACATAATCATGTAGTTAAATGAGACTTTCAACAAGTGGGGACTAGCTAATAACACTGGGCTACGTATGCAATCAGACTTTACCAAGCGGCAAACGCAGAGTTCATGTAGCTAGCAAGCTTACGCTTCAGCCAACCTTCCTGAGTCAGGATATTATTGGTGATAATCTCCCGACGCATCCTTGAGGTCCAGACTTCTTCTTGAGTTGTTCCTGAGAATCCTTCAAGCCATTTTTCCTGTTGAAGGAATGAGGGATCTGGCCGGTTATCATTACTCAACAGTTATGGCTCAGCAGATCTTTTCGAACCCCCTAGACTGAAAGTAATTGTCCTTCTCCCAACAACTGGATTGGTGCCCACGTCATAGTCCTCACACCTAGCCGCGACATCCGCATAAGTTGATCTTTGATTATGTTTCGGTGTCATTGTTGACGCTGAACCACAATGACTCATTGCAGCGCAGGCGCTCTCCATACTGTTTCCGGTGAGCCGAGGCATATTCTCATCCCTGATGCGCCCACCAGTCTGAGCCTGCAGATCTGCCCACTCCTTATCGTTCCTCCGAACGTCCGATACAAGGAAGTGGCGTCCTCCATGCTTGAGCTCTCCAGCAAAGTTGCTGGACCGGGCTATGCGTTTCATCCGTCTCCGTCGTGCATTACGAAGGCCTTCCCGCTCCCGAGGCATTTCGGCGACGGGTGAAAACGCCTGAGCCTCAAAATATCTGCCATCTATATCGGTAACGATGTAGACGTCGAGGCAGTCGTCTGTAATTTTGCGACTTTGGATTCGGTATTTGTTTCCGATGGAGATTCTCTGTAAAACCAAACGATTGGTTTCGAGGTGCGTAGAAGTTGACGGTGCTAGTATGACACATCCTGTCGGTTTGGAGTTCCAGATGCTAGGAAACTGCAAAGAGGGAATGATTAGTGACCATGCTTCATTGAATAGGCACAATTTTTGATGTAAACGATCTGAGTACTCACGAAGAAAAAGGCGGAGAAGATATTAAGTGATCTCTCTAAATAGATGACATGTAAGAGATGACATCAAGAGCCTTATAATACATTCAGAAAAGTAGCTTTTCTGCGATTTGCGGTCGACTCACAAGACCGTGAACTTGCCGCGAACGTATGTGAAAAGATTCATGACATTGCACCCCACGAGGACACGTTCAGGCAGTTAAGCCTCATCATACCAGCTGAAATCAAGAGGCAGGGAAAAAAAAGCACCTCTCAATTAATTGAGTTTGGTGGGCTGAGAAGAATCCTGTGTTCCCATATGGATGCTGATTGGCCTGGCACAAGCCTCCGCATGTTTTGGTCCAGCCCTATGGGCCATGGTGAGGCACATTCGAATCTTCGATGCCATGACCAGGGTCCTGTTATTGGAGCATGTGAATCTCCGCTCGAGAGGGTGCCTTAGACTATGCCAAAAGAGATACCGAAGGGTCTGCAATGTGGCGGGTGCAATTCCTATGGGCCAGATCTAGGCGATGATTGATACACACGGATGCCAAGAATACTTGACAACCTGTTGGAAATAAGCCTCAACAAGGGTCTTCGAGACCAACGATAGGTCTGGAGAACACCGAAAATTAGGCAGAAATTGGCCTCAAAATTTCGCGACCCGACGCATTGTGTCATGAGGGGAGCTGACGTGAAGGTCTCCTGTCTAGTTGTATCGGATGCCTCGTCTCAGCCTCCTTGGCCTGCGCGTGGTTCGCATTCAAAGGCGAACTCGACGAGGAAATCGACACATTGTGGGTTTAAAATGGCTCTGATATCACAAACCTCATGCTCTTGACTAACTCACCCAAATGCATCGACGTTACTCAAGTTGAGTGTGCCTTCGCACTTTCTGCTTCGCATTTTCGGCTTTTATTTGCTAGCCATCTCTCAACTCTTCTTAAAACCTCATTTTAGCTGCACCTGCCGGATCACTGGGTGCTGACCCACCGTGCTTCGCTAATGCAGTCTAGTGGGAGGAGGCCTCCATGCGTGTTGACTGAGCTCGAGTTGCGCGCCTCGAGATGAGTGAATCGATGATTACCGCAAGATAATATGGCTCAGAATGAGTGTAGATATTCATAGATTATAGGCGCGATAAATATACAATACTCATTCCTGGTGATGATAACAATACCTGATGAAGTAGAGAAGAGTGTATTTGAATGCTAGCTAACCATTTGAATCTGACTTGGCACAGAGGCAAATGAAAACGCGACATGATGCTGCAAAGATGCCCAGAGTTGAATGAAGCAAAGAAGATTGGGAAATTTATGAGACCGGCTTTGTTGATTTGAAGATGGTTGTTGTTCGATTGGTGTTGGTGTTTGGTTGCGTGTGCCCACAGCGGTGATGACTCTGAACAGCCCCGGAGAGCGCAAGGTTCAGCCGTGGGAGCTGCGGGGACTGTTTGGTGGACGTCCGGCCTTCTTCTTCCCGCAGACTCGAATATGGGTCAAATGAGCATCAAGATCGGTGAAAGACTTTTTACAAATGCAGATATAAACCTCATTTGCAGAAATCCTCGCCCTACAGCTGCCACTGAGGTGTCGGAGGTAATTGCTCTTGCGTGTGACCTGGTAGCTGCATTTGCATGTGTACTGAGGATCGCTGTCCACACGATGCACCTCTGTTGCGTGTCTTCGTGCTTGTCTTGAGTCGCCAAAGGTCTTGCGGCAGCGTTCGCAAGTAGTTATTCCAGAGCCGTCAGTATTGACGCTTCGATTACTGACAGCATCCCAGCCGGGCGATGTACAGGCGAGAGATTGGGCCAAATCATCCAGCAGGCTGGGCGTGGTGGTGTTTGTCAGAGTATGGTAGGTAGGAAAAGCAGGGTGGTAATTGGGCGTCAGGTACTCTGGTCCGGGGGCTATTACATGAGTCCAGGGCGAAGCGTTTTGATGCCCTAGACCATTTCGCACTTGCTGCAGTGCAAGTTCAGGATCCAAACCCGAATACTGATCTGGATGCTGGAGTGCAGGGGTTGATGGGGAGAAGACGGGGGGTCCAGGATGGAGATCGATTTCTTGGGAATAGGAACCCGAAGAAAGGTCAAGATTGTCTAGAGCACCCGGGTTGGAACCCGAGAATTGGTCGTACGCGCTTCCGTAGGTGGGCGTGTAGCTTTCATAGGCCGAAGCGTCCTGACTGATGGCCTCGGAAGTAGCGTAGTAACCACTGCCGTACCCGTGGCCAGCGGTCTCATCGAGGGAGCGCGACTGGTTATCCATGCCTGCAGGTGAGCCTGAGAGATCACTCAGGTCGGGGGGTACTTGTGTGCGGCGGTCGGTTCAAGGTTGATGGTGCGGCGAAGTAACTGTGGACTGGTCAGGAACGAGCATAATATTGGTTCGCGCGCAGCGATCCGGCCGCTTGTAGGCGAGTCCCTTACCAACTGGTCTTATTTTCGGGCCCAAGACGAAGTACTGCGGGAGTGTTGATGTTGGAGTTCTTATCGGCAGTGACGGTGCCAAACGGTGCCAAACAGAACCAAACAAAGAATGGAACGAGAGGAAAAGAGAAAATCATGAATGAGACGGGGACAGCAGAGTTTTACGAGGACGCAACGTGAGGTTGATTTGAGGTCTATTTTCTCTCCAATGCGGTCGAAAGGCGACAAGCGTTGGCGTAACAGTGCTGGACAGCACCACTCGTAAGCCCAAGCCAAGACCACCGGCGCGCTACCCTCCCTTGGGACGGGTTTAACGGGGAATGAGTCGGGCGAGAGTGGTAATGCCATGCATCAAAAATGCACCTGAAAGCACAGTGTTGCAGTACTCGTGGAGTGGCCGACTCTGCTCCATCAGTGGACAAACCTCTCGCGAGGCCTTGTCACGACACATCTCGCAGCAATGCAAGCGTGTGGCACAACGGCAAAGCCAGATAGTGACATATTATTGGGTGATGTGGTGCCCTCCGATCAATAAAAAGCCAGGCCAGCAAAGATTTGGCGCCGAAAGAAGACGCTCCGTCCTGTCGTCAATTAACCTCTCCGATCTACCGTTGCCATCACGGCCCCGGCCCAGAGACCCATATTGACCGGCCGGCTCTGGAAAGGAAGCTCGGATGGCCTGTGCCCCCTCGGAATTCAGCATATGAGAACTCGGCTGCGAAAGTTCTGACATTGCCTGGTGGTGTGATACCACATCTTGGACCAATCTGATCAGTAACTACCCCCATACTGAATTGCCCTTTGTTCATCCCCGTAGAGGGATGTGCTGCCTACGTCGTTGACGTAGTTGATAGTCCTAATATCTCTTGGGGCAGTTCCGTTACGGGCACTTATTCTAGCTGCTTGTCTGTGTGAAGGTAAACACACTGAGAACATTGTATTCGATGGCATGAGTCTTGATACATAATACATACCTCACATCCTACCCGTGAGCCAGTCCGAGTCTTTAGTATCATGATGGGTTTTAAGATTTCTGACTAAATTTGTATTCATCCAGAGGATAGGCCGGTATGCATGTGGCCATCTTTGATTTTGAAGACTGTTGTATGTCGTGAAATAAACGGGAAGATTGTTGAAATGGCATTGGAGGCCTTCTTGCGACATTTATGTTGATCGGGATGATCGATTAGACTCAGGCAACAATGTGTAGCAGCTGAGTTTACTGAGTAACCGTCGCTTTAGCTTTGTACACTTGCGCAGAGTAAGCCTCAAGTCAAAAGCGAGGCGCAGTTTCAGAATGAAATGACCGTGAGATCATGCATTCGACACCGAGACCGAGGAAGACAAATGCCGAAGGCAATTACAATTTCTGACCTGAAAATACTGCGTTGCGCCATTGCAAATCTTATGCGGCCTTTCCACCCAGCGCAAGCTGCCTTCGGATGTCTGCCTGGTCGCCTGTGACCGGCTTAGTTTTGGCGCGGTACAACGGCCAGCCAATGATGCACCCAAAAATGGGCCTCAATGGGGACTTGCAACCGCCTTCAGGCGCGCTGCCTGATGAGACGCCTACTTGGGCGGAGATGCGAACGAGCACATCCCGGGGCGCATCATAAATCTTGGGCAGAGAGGGAAATTTACGCAGATATTTGAAGGCCGAAGACGCCGCTGTGATGATGCCTTTCGGAACGACACTGCACTTCACTCTTCAATCAAACAACTCCATTACAATGCTTTACCTGGTCTCTGGTGCCTATCCATTCGCTTGGGATGATGCCAATTGAGTTGCCAGTCGCCTAGACGCGATGCCCCCCCCCCCCCCCCCCCCCCCCCCCCCCCCCCCCCCCCCCCCCCCCCCCCCCCCCCCCCCCCCCCCCCCCCCCCCCCCCCCCCCCCCCCCCCCCCCCCCCCCCCCCCCCCCCCCCCCCCCCCCCCCCCCCCCCCCCCCCCCCCCCCCCCCCCCCCCCCCCCCCCCCCCCCCCCCCCCCCCCCCCCCCCCCCCCCCCCCCCCCCCCCCCCCCCCCCCCCCCCCCCCCCCCCCCCCCCCCCCCCCCCCCCCCCCCCCCCCCCCCCCCCCCCCCCCCCCCCCCCCCCCCCCCCCCCCCCCCCCCCCCCCCCCCCCCCCCCCCCCCCCCCCCCCCCCCCCCCCCCCCCCCCCCCCCCCCCCCCCCCCCCCCCCCCCCCCCCCCCCCCCCCCCCCCCCCCCCCCCCCCCCCCCCCCCCCCCCCCCCCCCCCCCCCCCCCCCCCCCCCCCCCGGGATCTTACACTCGCCGACAGACCTGTGGTTGCGAGAAACAAAACGGATTGGCACCTCTCTCTGCTGACGGTATGTGGGACATATTACAGCGTCGCTAATGCAAAGCAGCGGGCAGCCTCAAGAAACGCTAGTGACCTTATCACGTCGCGAGACACTGAGGTAACATCAATTTCGTCCACGAAGAACCATCAGACGGAGCGAAAGAATTTGAAGACGCAGGTTGGATTGATGCTCTAAAGAACTCTAAGTACGAGATCCTCCAGCATGAATCAACCAAAAGGCATGCACCACATCACCCTTGCAACCCGTTTTTATCAATACACTAACAACAGGCAACTGCCAAGAGAGCCTACAAACACCCTGACAATGCCGCAAAACCCAAAAATCCGATTTGAAAGGACGTCACGGCCGTCCGTTCAATGTTGAATTGCAAGTCGTTTCAGCGACGCTGCTTACAGTCTTTGACATGATTCAAGTGTTCTTCCAAGTTGCTGTGTTCCGTCCCGCAGATGCAAAAGAAAGATGGCCCGGTCTTGTCCTTCATCTTGCAGGACTTGAGATGTCGAAGGTAGTTGTCTTTGCGTGCAGTCGAATGGACGCACTTGCACATGTACCACGCTGTACCATGAACTGTTCGCATGTGGCGCTGCAGCACTCTCAGCACCCAGGGACTTGGATGTTGTTGGGGTACAGAGGGAGGTACTCGTGCCCATGCATTGCCGTCGAGGTCTGTTGAACTGCAGTGAACGAATTCCAAGACTCGCTATGCTGACTGCTCTGCAATGCCATTCTGCTCTCCAATGTGGTACGGCCTGGGTCACCATATCCTTCGAGGTACGCATGCCCGGGCTCAGGAACAAGTCCGGTAGCTCCGCCCGTAGCGAAGATAGTACCCGAATGATAGTTATCATTGGAGTAATGACTCCAATTCCCTCCCGTATTCATGATCGGGTAGGTTAGTGCGTACTGCGCAGAAAATGCGTCCGTATCGTTATCGTTATCGTTGTAATGGCCACGGACATAGCCAGCTGTCCCGTCTCGGGGATGCGACTGGTTGCTCATATTCACTGTTCCGTGAAACTCATCAAGTCAAAATGTTTCGTGGTGGCTGCAATTCAGTTGCTGGCAAAACACTGTTGCACGCTATTAGTTCTCATTCCTAACATCACCACTCCAGAGGGGGCCAAGTCAACAAAAAGAAGGCAAGTACATACAAAAAAGGTTATTGAACCGGAGTAAGAGGTATTGCGGTTGAGGCGCAAGTGAAGCTGCGAATTGAATGAACGTGCTGGAACGGGGAAAACGCTGAAATAAGGTAGCAAAGCCTCTCGTTTTCGTGAAGTACGTTGCAGACGTTTGTCCAAGTATCAGGAGGCGGAGTGAAATTGAGGCACATTGCCTAATGTGCCTCTGTGCCTCTGAGGGCATTTGTCTACGTTGCCATTGGGCTGGTGTTGTAGGAGAGGCACATCGCGATGGCTTGGAGGAGCCTCAGAGGCACGGGTTTCAGTGGGGACTGATTGGAATTCCTGAACCAGCAGGACATCCAGAACCCTTTGCATTATACGGTGCCTCGGAGACTTGTGTGACATGAGTGGTCTGGGCGGGAAAGAGCGCCTCCAGCATCGGCGAAGATTGGTCGGCATGAACAATTCTCTATCCCCCCTCGTCACTCCTATTCTATTTCTTTGTGAAACTAACACGTCTTGAAGTCATGTCAATAGAAATTGGAGGTAGCAGCAGAGGACTGCAAAGCCAGAACTCAGACGTGAATGGCTAGAACAGCCTGGAACAGCGCGCTCAGTGAGCTCAGTGAGTGCCTGCTTACCAACTTAAGCAGGAGGGAGCGGAGCGTGGCGCAGTAAGGAACAACGCACCGTCCCGCAACGAAGGAAAGTGTAAAAAGTCCACCGACGCGAGAGATTTGGCTTTCTCTCGTTGTCATTTCGTCCCTACTGATAGACATGAAGAGCTCAGTATCTTGATAGCAGAGTGCTATTATGGCCGGCCGAAACGATTACCTCCGAAGGACAACCTTTCCGCGCCAGTGACGCAATCAGAACGGCTCGTTCTTCGCCTGTGGTCTGCTCGGTGGGAGAGCACTGTTTCTGTTGCATGTTGTGATGCTATTTGGGACGTTCAGTTGCACGGACTACGAGCATAGACAAATAGATACAAGACTTTGGGATGACTAGAACTGGAACGCACTTACTCGCACAATGCTTGAAGTGGTCGGTATTTTGTTAAGAACCTGAGAGTGCACATTCCGGCAAAATGTACAAGCGATCCGTTTCAAATGTTTTGTTGATTTTGTATGCCTATTAATTTTACGCAGAAGCCCCCTGAAGTCAGGTGTTACGACCTGTTATACATGGATAACAGTTGACCGACCTACTTAGGCGTTAGGCGGCTAGGATAGGATATTTATACTGCAGAATTAATAGGAATAATAGGGACTTACTTAGAATAGAAGAACTATAATATAAGTTATATAATAATAAGATAAGAGAATAATTAGTAGAGTATAAAAAGAAATACTTAGCGATTAGTTAGTATTACTAATTAATTATAATTACTTATA